TATTTGTTGCCCTCGTTTCAATTACCAAGTCACTTATTTATCTCCTAATTTGTTGGTGTCATGTTGATAGTTCATTTTAAATATGTACGCACTATGAATTAAATCAATCGAAATTAACATTGAAACAAATATGACGATGAATAAAATTATAATTGTTTGTATTATTCCTTTGGCTATTATTGTAATAGAATTCTTTCAGAATTCATTATTCAATCGTGCGTAATTATCGGTCTCATTTTTTATCGATGAATATTAAGTTAGAAGAAGCGTGAACTATATCAAAACAACCGTGACAATAAATTTTGGGAATAGAATCGTTAACCTATCAAGAAAAGACATGTGGAAAATACTATGAGGATGAAATATTTTTATTTACATATTTGAAGACTTCACGAGAAGACATAGTTGACCACTTGATGGTTAACCAATTTTCTTTGCGTGGCCATCATGTTTAGATATATATGTTATAGTTATGTTGCAGCAATGCCCCCCGGGAGGCTGATTTTTACTTAATCTCAAGCTAAAATCTGATATCACTACTGCTTGATCTAGAAATGGTAGTGGTCGAGGTAGGAATCAAACCCAGAACTTGTGGTTACCAATCCACGATCTTGCAACTACCAGCTCTTAGTTTAAAATATGTTGTGAAAAGTAAATTTTTATTTAACCCGAATATAAAACGATTGTTGCAAGAGCATTAAAAGTATTAAAATTTATGTCATGCTTGTTTAGAATTTGTTCACGCTCCTTTAAACTTGTATTAAACATGAGGCGATAAAATTGGCTATGAGATTTGCGCATTATTCAATAGTGAATTGAATAAATTGTATTGCCATTGAAACATACAATTAATTTTCTTAAGAAGTTTTGATATTTTATTGAAAAATTAAAAAATCACCTTATTGCAAAAGTCAATAATTAAATTATTGCAATTACTGAAACAAGAGACATAACATCTCCAAATAAAAGACAGGATTATAAAATTGATAATATTCCTTTACACAATTATTTATTCAAAAAATCAAAATTGAAAATTTTTGCTTATCTTCACGTTTTGAAGGTTGTTGAACATTTTAGAAAAAATGAATGTGTGTGTGTATGTATGTGCGTGTGTGTGTATGTATGTGCGTGTGTGTGTGTGTGTATGTATGTATGGATACAATTTTGCGTCCACGATTTCGTGCGCACGGATCCACAAATTTGAATGGTTCAAAAAACATTCGATTTCTATTGATAAGGAAATGTGTTGATTAGTTTTTGGCAAAGGCAAGTCCAGCCGTTTTAGAGATACGGAGCAAGGAGTGCAGAAAATAGAAATCGTGTTTTTGAGAGAACGGAGCATCCGATTTGATTGATCCAAAAATATTAAATTTGCAATGATCTGGAAAAGTGGTGATTAGATTTTGGTAAAGGCAGGTCTAACCGTTTCGAAGGTACGAAACTAAATATGCAAAAATGGCAGTTTTTAAGAGAACTAAGCATCCGATTTGAATGATTCAAAAAAATTTATGCTTGTGTTGACAAAACGATTGCTTTTGGGGATAGATTTTTTTTTAATTTCCGAAAAAAAAATTTTTACTAAATTTTATTCTTTGAATATTTCATTTAAGTACAAGAAGTTCCAGCAATTTGCCTTAAGGCACAATGCCATAGACCACTTAATTATTCTTCATCAATGTTATGTATTTAGCTATAAATAAGAATTTAAATTTTTCTTCATATGACTGCATAATTTAAATTAATTTATCAAAATTAAAAAAGAATACCATTGGGTAACTTTTTAAAACTTTAATTGAATTATTTGTATTTATCCCCAAAATTCCTAATTATTTTTCGAAAATAAATTGTATTTTTTGATACAAAATTGAAATTTTGATATTTTATTGAAAATAATTTGTATTCATCCTCAAAACTCCTAATTATTTTTAAGAAAATAAATTGTATATTAACGAAAGTTTTTCAGAAGAATAAAAAAATAGACTGAGTAATCTAATAACCTAGCAAAAAATTGTCAGATCAATTTCATAATAAAAGAATTAAAAAATCCTACTAATCACAGATTGTTGAATTATTTTATTACTAACTTGACACTTAATATTTTCTTAATATTTATCTATTTAGTTGTGTAAATTAAAACTTTAAAACATTTATATTTATAATTATATGTGAAGCGTGATCTACAAGAAAAAAATAAAATCCGTTAAAAAATCCTTTCTATTTTTTGTTTTTGTACTCCCATCAGTGTAAAAGATTGCATTACTGGACGAAGATTCTCAGATTTATTTTTGTACTTGATTGATTAAAAAAATGATTTAATGTTTTATTTAAAAAAATCAAATAAAAAAAACGAAATTTTACCAATTTTACATAAGCCATCACCTTTATTTTTGAAAGTATGTACTTAAATCACCGTTTACCGAGCAATGATTCGAACTTTTTGGATGTATCGAATTTTTTTCGATATCATGAAAATTATTTGGGTCAATTCACAGTACTAATTTATTAACAAGTCATTCAAAATAATACTCAGGTTAATAGAGTTTGAATTAATGTAGAATAATAGGAAAGTACCAGCGGAAAATATTTTTTTGGGAGACCTCTGGAATTGATTAGTGCATCGGACAATGATAATAATAAATAATGCATTAGAATTATATATTTTTTATATATAATTTAAAATATGCAATTCCAGGTTAAAACAATCGATGATATAAATGTATATGTCTTTAAAATACATATACGCCATAAACAAATAATTGGTAAAATTAAATATATATATATATATATATATATATATATATATATATTGAGGTGGTCCTTAATATGGACATTTTCGAATTTTCTTGCTCCCAAGGGCTCAAATGGTTCCAAATTGCTAAAAAACAATTCTCTGAAAGTTTTAGCTCTTAATATTAACTTTTAGATAGCAATTCAATCAAACTTCGTATGGAAATAGCATGGAAAAAATTTTGAAAATTAAAAAAAATAATAACAAAAAAATAATTTTTTAAATATTTCATATGAAAAATGCATACTGTTTCATGAAGAACATATTAAAACAAGAATGAAATATTTTTTACATACAAAAAAAAACAATTATTATTATAAATAATAAAATGAATTTAAGTTTTCCTAGGTGCTAAATAATGATATATTTATTGCTTTTTTGCAAGCAAAATATAACAAAAATTGAATGAATAATTTTATATATTATATTTTATATAGGTTTAGATAAAAGTGAACACAAAACTATTAATAACAATAACTTATACTTATTGGCTCATTTATTTAAAATATTTTATAAATATGTCTAATCATTCATCAGAAAAAGAAGCCAAGCAATTAACTCAAAAAAAATATTTCAAACCAAATTGAATTTGTTTAGGTAATGAAAGCACGTGAGATCAAGTGATCTCAAGTAGATATTAAAATAGATATTATAATTATTTAACAAAAATCGCAGAAAATGCCATTTTTAATTAACGAGCAACAATAATAATGAACTAACACTACGTCAATGTTAATAATTAATGATTAAAAAAATATCAATTAATTGAATAAGAAAATTTTCAACTGATATATTCCAAACGAATGTTGAATTTTCAAATTCTGTTCACAAACTAAAAACGATTTTAAATTTTAAAATCGGTTCAGAATATATGGCGATTTTTTTGATTAGCTAGAATTACGAAAAGTTCAATTTTAACAATAGACACTCAAAAAATGTTAATCATTAAAAATACACCAGGTGCAATCAACTTGCAAACAATTTAACAATTATTTAGTAAAAAATTATGCTAACTAAAATATTCTTTCTAAACCTAAAAAATGAACCAAAAAAATGAAAGAAAAGAAAATGAAGTGAACTGAAAAAAATATGCTGATTAAAATTTTGAAATAATAAAAATACTCTTATTTGAAAATAAAAATATCTTTTTCTATGACTGCTAAATTATTCTCAAATGATCTCTCCCAAACCTATTAAATTATCCTAAGTGAAGCAGAAAATTATGCTAACTAAAATTTTAACTATCTGGTCCGAAGAGCAAGTCAAAAAAATGTGCAAAATTATGAACAAAAAATGTTATTTCATCCAAATAAATTAGCTGCAGAATTGTAAGACATCACCCACTTTTTTAGACTCAAAAGAACAAAATTTATAGAATTAACTTAATAGATTTAAGGGAGTATTTTAGTGTAGAGGCATTAATTTTAAGTCAAAAGGCAATTTTTTTTACTATTATTTTTCCCAAAGAAGTTTATGTTTTCATCAAAAAATCCGAATTGCTAATTTTATGTTTTTCTCGACGTTTCAAACCATTCTGAATCGAATGAGACCAAATTTGGAAAAAGTATGTGTGTGTGCGTGTATGTAAACAGATTTTTTCATAATTTATTTATCAACGTCACAAAAAAAAGTTAATAAATTTAAAAATTATCGGTGGGGGGTATCAAAATAGTATTAAATTAGAATGATGTCGCTATGGTATATATTAGGATTAAGATTTGCAAAAAGGTGTCTGTTTGAACAAACAAGACCATTTCTTACCACTTTTTTAAAAATAGTAAAAATTTAAATTTAAGACTGAAGATAGTATAGAGAGGTCTATAAAAAAAATTCTCTGAAAATTTCAAGTAAATTGAGAAATTGTGAACATCGTATTGAAAAAGACAATTTTAATAAAAGCGCGTTTAAAGTTTCGCAACAGAAGAGGATTTTTATGATCAAACAACTGTATATCCAAAAATAATTTAAATTTTAAAAAATCCTCTCGTACACATTTTCTTAAATAGTTGAAATTTAAAAATATGGAAAAAAACAAAACAACTATTTTGGGAATTTCTACACTAGAACACCCCTTAAAAAATTTATTGTACTTTATCACCTCAATTATCATTGTTTTTATAAGACAGCTTGGAATTTACGTTAAATAGATAAAAAAATAACTAAACTAAATTTAATTCTTAATTATTTTTTTTAAAAAAAATCTCTCCCATACCTGTTAATTTATCCTCGTAGGTTGACTTGCAAACAGCGTTAAAAAAACAACTATCTATAAATTAATAATTTCAGTATCACTAGAATTTTTTTTTCTAAATAATTATTACTAAATTACAAAAGCACAGTGGTGGTACGCGAATAAATAATTTGGTCGATGTGGAGTGATCGACGTCCCAGGTGACACTGACTGCCGGAGGATCCGTCGTCCGGTAGTCAACTAAGAACTAAGCCAACCCAACCGGCGACGGGAGACGACGGGAGACGGCGGGAGACGAAGCGACCATCGAGGGCAGAACAACACGCGGACGAAAGCTTTCGGTAAACTTGGGTCGGAAGCGGATTTCGTTGGAGGAGAAGGAAGAAGGAAGGCGAAATCGAAAAAGATGAACTAGTGGTGCATGGCATCGTAACTTAAGGCAAATTGCTGGAACTCCCGTACCGAAAACTTAGATTTAAAAAAAAACTTGAAACAAAATCCAAAACTTTGAAAGAATTAGATTTTTGAGAATATTGAAATTTAAATAATTTTTAACTTACCGTAGGGCAAGTTATAGTAATCGCAAAAAAAATCGAAAATAAATATTTTTATATATGTTTACGTTTCAGAGGTTTCTGAATATTTTGGCATACCTTAGAAAAAATGGATGTGTGTGTGTGTGCGTGTATGTATGTGTGCGGATACAAATTTTCGTCGGCGATTTCGGGAACACGGATGAAGCGTTTTGAATAATTCAACTAGTGGGGCGCATGGCATCGTGACTTAAGGCAAATTGCTAGAACTTCCCGTACCAAAAATTATTTTTTTTAAAAAAGATTAACATTTTTGAAAAAAAATTACTCTGAAAAATTAGATTTTTGAGAAACTATAAATGTTTTACAAAAATTTACTTTTTAAAAAAAAAAGACTTTGAAGAACAGAGTATTTTGTAATATTTTGGAAATTCTGCACTTTTTTTTTCAAAGCAATCGTACTGCTTTAACTGCATAGAGACGAAATATGGAAGCGCGTAAGCGCCGCGTCGCCGTCTAACCGATAACCCATAGAATTGTAAACAAAATTTATACTTATTGTTAAAATCTCTATAAAATATATGATAATTTGATGTGCATATGTCTAATGATCATTTTTGACCGCCAAATGGCATTTTTTTTTTACTTTTTTTACTAGATCTCCGAAACCGCTAGACCTGCCTTCATGAAAATTTGACCAGTTCTTTATCTTGTTAATACAAGTAAAATGTTTTTTGAATTATTAAAATCGAACGCTCCGTTCTCTTATAAACTGAGTTACCATTTTTGGCACTTTTTGCCCCATATCTTCGGAACGCCAAAAACTAATCAACACGTCTCCTTATCAATACAAATCGAATGTTTTTTGAATTATTCAAATCGGTTGATCCGTGTTCCCGAAATCGTCGACGAAAATTTGTATCCGCACATACATACACACACGTACATACACACACACACACACATACATCCATTTTTTCTAAGGTATGCCAACATGTTCAGAAACCTCTGAAACGTAAAGATATATAAAAATGTTCATTTTCGATTTTTTTGCGATTACTATAACTTGCCCTACGGGAAGTTAAAAATCAAAACTTTGAAAATATTAGATTTTTTAGAATATTGAATTTTTTTTTTAACTTTAAATATTTTTGTAAATTTTTAACTTTTTCACGCTGCATAGCTGTTTTAGAGTTTCTAGGCTTCATAAGGTACTTCATTCATATTTTTTATATAAAGGTTATGCTGATAAGTTTAAACAATATCGTTACATTGTACTGCCAATAAAACAGGGGTTTTCGGTTCGAATTCTGGTTGAGGTATGTTGAGTTACTGCATTTGAAAATCAATTCATATATCATTAAAAAATCTTTTCCATATCTTCAAAGATTTGTGAACCTTTTGGCATAGGGTAGAGCGGGGCTTAAAGGATCACGGGAAAAATAAGTCCACCACCGATATCTCAAAAACTAGTAAAGCTAACAATTTTTTACCAACAATATTTGCAAGTAGAGCCAAAAAGATGTATAACCAACCATGACCTTGATTCTTACTACGACAATGTTTGAAAATCCGTAACAAAAGTATTTTCTTTCGTTGTTATTTTTTGTGATCGTGAGCACTGTTGTTTAGTTCACGAGACCTCTAAATAATTTTTGATCATACGTTATTTAATTGTTTTATAAAATTATTTGTTAATTTTATTTTAGATTCAACAGTTTGTTTCTTTTACATAAGCTCTATAAAAGCTTACACTTGGGTGGAGTAAAAAGGACCAGTTAAACCTTCACCCTGGCAATAGTGTAAAGATTACATAATCGTTAATAAAAAGTTAAATCAAGCAATTTCACAAGAAAAAAAAATAGTTATTTCAACACTGCTGATAAATATTTCTGATAAAATACCAGATCAAGGTTATCTCTGTAAAAAATGCATCCATAAGATTTAAATTTTGTATTTTTGTAGCCATTATTTTGTACAATTCTTATAAATTTAAAATAAAACATTAGACCTGTTTGCCGCCTGGTCATCCCAATTTACCCCGCCTATGGGGTAAAAAGAACCAGGTTACACATTTTTTAAAAACAGCAAAAAACACATTTCTACAACGATGAATTAGCTAAGATTTTTACTGAACATAGTCAGATAAATGTTTGATTGATATGTGTTATTTGTTGTAATATAATTTGATTTTGAGTAAAAGTGTTATCACAATAGGTCATAGAACTCTTAGTTCTAGAACAAATAATTACAATTAATTTACTATCAATATTGGATTTATTTTATTTTCTATTATCTTACTCGTAACTGTTTTACTTCTTAGTAATACAGGCATAAAAACAATAAGCAGAATTTGTCATATATTTTTGTATTCAAGGTTTGTTTTGGACGTAAGTTTTATTGTTTTTTTCATTGAACCATTTATATTTGTTAACATTTCACCTAATTTTGGAATTAACAATTCACTACTAAACACGTAGTACAATTCATGTGAAACATATTTACTAAACAATATTTAAAATCAATTTCATTCATAAATTTTTATTTGAAAACAATAACAAATAGGCCTGTAGGTTACCACATCAATAGAACTAAATTAATTTAAAAATGAAAATAAATAAAATATATATAGTGTTGAAGAAAAGCATTTTTGATTGAGTGATGAGAGCGACCTGAATCAGAAGTCCTGGGTTCGATCCCGCTTCGAGGAGCCTGATGTCAAGCAGTAGTGACATTGGTTTTCCCTTGGAATTATAGATAGCAATATGTTTCTAAGTCAGAATAGCCCTCGTCCTGCATTGCTGCATCAATAATATATTTACCCTATCACAAAAATTGTGATAATAAAAAATTATTACACAGAGATGAGACAACTGTTTGGGTTGCCAACTTTTCAAACAGTTTTTTCTACTACTTGATGTACATATTTATATTATTAGAATTTCTCCTATACTGATTTGAATAATAGCAATTTAAAAATGCTTTCATGTGTCGCATAAAAATATAAATAAACAAAATGATTGCGTAACTTTGCGAAAAATAGGCATCGAGAGCAATCCGACAAAATCCCTGACTAAGCCAAAAAATTTGTTCGATCAGCAAAGTGCATATTTATGCGTACAATTAAAAATAAGTGTTGTTGTTTGAAATAAAAAGTTCTCTGGTCAAAAATATATATATATATTAAATAAACTTTTTTATATTAACAGGAATTAAAATTAAACTAACATTACACTTGCTAACTTCTTTTAATAACCTAGCTTTATATACAGCACCCCAAAGGGTTGTCTTTTCTCTATGTGATGTAAATCTATTATTAATGCAATTTCTATATTACTAATGATTTTTTTATTATTTTCGGGTGACAGCTATTTTCACTACTGCTTGACACCAGGCTGTCCGAGGACAGTATCAAATCTGAAACTTCGGATTCAAATCCCATAGCTCTAACCACTGATCTACGTGAGTGTCTCATTTTTATTGTAAATTAGAACAAATTTTAACTTGTTCACAATTGGGCTTTTTATTTTTATTGTTTCAAAATAACTGGTTTGACTATCAAAACTTGTTGGCACAAATAAAAATTATCGTGTACGAAGTAAAACAAAAAATATAAGATTTAGATTTTTTTGTTCGACGTTGAGACATATTCTTGAATATTGATTTTCAGCCAATCGTCGAAATAAAAGAAAACAAATAAATAATAAAATATTTATTTATACGTTTCGACACAGTTGTGTGTCATTATTCAGCAACCCTTTTTGAAATTTTTTAATTTAATTTGAAATTTAATTTTTTTAAACTCTAAAAAAATTTTTTTTAGGTACTGTAAAAAAATTCAAAAAGGGTTGCTGAATGATGGCACACAACTGTGTCGAAACGTATAAATAAATATTTTATTATTTATTTGCTTTCTTTTATTTTGACGATTGACTGAAAATCAACATTCAACAAAAAATATGTATTACTAGGTGTGAGTGGCATATTACCTCAAGTCAGGTTGCACAAACTTCACGATACGAGTAAAAAATCGACTTAATCAGTAATTATCAACTTCTAAAATTGTGTTTTAATAATTTGGCTACAATATCGATGGCATCAAAACATGTCAATACAAGTGCGTAATTTATTTCAGCCTTGAATGCATTTCCAAAAATTCAAAAATTGCAACATCGATTCCATATATCGAATGAATTAAAAGAAAGTAAACCGTTAAATACTATTACTATACTATTGTATGCAAATTTCATAGCAAATCGTTAAATATTGAATAATAGACAATTGTATTATAGATGACAAATCATGGAAAAATGAAAACGGATTCTGTTGAAAATGAAAACATATTTTTTGTACTTCACTTTCCCGAAGTGAAATAAAATTTATACCTAGAACGCGGTTAGTGCAAACCGTATAATATGGAAACCGCGCTATAAGTAACCCAGAATTAGTAGAAACCACATCAATACCGCGTTATATGGAGATTAATCAACACCAAAAGGATGATAAACTAGTGGTGCATGGTAAAAACATTTCATATATGATGGATGAAAAACATTTCATATATGAATTAAAATGTCGAACTCGCAATAGTCCAGTTGCATAAATTATATTTG